TGTTAAATCGTGTCGTTCCAAATTGGCAGCAAAGTAGCTACCGCGCGCGATCGCCGTCGTCGTGTGTGTTCAAGCAAAGTGAGTAAACGAAATGTGTCCCACTGGATTTTTTTTCTCCTCTTCGCGGAACTTTGTTGGCCTTACCAAATCGCTACGCCGCACAAAAAAAAAAAAAACAGGAGATATTTCGTCCAGAAGACATTTTGTATATGGAGCTAAAAATTTTAATGACGAAGCAAAGACTCGTCGGACGAAGCCGCTACGTATGCCTGATTATCAGATAGCCACACGGTAAAATAGTCTATAAAACGGCAATCGAGGCGAAGAAGAAAAGAGCCCCCTTATATACCACAGCCGACAATAAACACACGGACACACGTCTCGTGGCATTAATGCGCGATCTATGCAGTCCGTGTAACGTGTATTGACACCTCAAGGCGGAAGCCTCGGCTACCGCTACCACTGCTGCTGGGACGGAAGCCTTTTGAGAGGTGGAGAGCAAAAAAAGGGGGCTCCAGCGAGATCTCTCGGCAAACGTGCGACCGAGGGTAATTTCGAGCTTTGCGATTTGCATCGGCCGTGCGATAATCGCAGCCGCGGAACGTACATTACGTGATCGGATGAATGGTCTAATGATAGTGTCTGCGCCGAGTTCTGCTGCTATAGAGGAACGACTATGGGTGGAATATAACACACGAGACGTAATTCTTCTCTCTGTCTCGGTTGACGAGTGACGAGTGCGAAGCGGCAGCGGTAACGACGCGTTACGTATTATAACAGACAGAAGACATAATCGATAATTAATTCGCACGGCCCGAGCAATTTTCGTACATCGGAGAGGCTCGAGGAAGTAAGGAAGATACGTGCTGGTGTTGCTGCTACCGCACTGGCGTCTGTTTATATATTAATCACGCCACACATACATTACATTACGATACATATAATACGAAACAAAAAAATGTAACGTCGAGTTAATTCTCTTCTCACGCGCGCGGATCCCGGCCAGATAAAGTTTCGCTGATTTTTGCGCGCGGCTGCCTATATTACACGCGTTTACGCACACACACATTTTCTGTATACCGGAACGCGCGGCACCTTTTCCCCACGAATGTATACAACGTATACACACACACTTGCGAAGGGGCCATTATTCATTAATAACGCGGCGCTGTGTTGCTGCTCCTGCCGTGGTGGCGCTAAAATGTTGCCGCCTCATTATTTCGCACACAGGCTGCTCTGTAATATCTGCTCCGCTATCTAGGTGTATCATACGCGAGGCTTATTTTTTATTCGGACATCGTGGCGACTCGACTACTGTGGCGCTACGTATTTTTTTTCTTTTTGCACTTTGTTACAGCGTGGAGAAAACATATATCACTTTGGGTAGCTCGCGCAAACAATATACTGTTGAGAAAAAAACTGTGAATTCGAGGTTGATTTAACGTAAAATCAGATGTGAAAATTGAATTAACCAGTAATGGATTATATTTGAGTTACCTTTACGCGGAATCTATTTGATTGATTTTTTTCATATAAACTGTTTTTACACTCTAATTTGAACATTTCGATTGAAGCTGCTCCAAAAACTCATGAAAATTCAAAAGTAATTAAAGCTATCCTTCGACGCTAGATGGCGAGTAGCCTTTATGCGTAAATCTGCGAGTGGCAAGGTGCAAATAAAATTGTATGTAAGCACGGTTTTTATTGGCCAATACCAGTTTTGTATTGCATCATTTTTTTTTTGGTTTTTCTTGTTTGCGAGTTAGTTCTCGTTGGAGAGCTACAAGCAAGGAGAATAGATTCGAGTGTTGAATGCGATTGCTGAAAAAAGACAGATACATTGAAACGTCGTTTCTCGACATTTTGAATCTTAAATTTGGCTTGAAAAAATTTCTGCTAATTCAATCAAAATTAAAGCCAGTGCCCACCGTAAGATGGCGAGTACCTTTACCTGGAAAATCCGTAAGTGTTAAAGTCAAGATAATTGTATAAGTCGGTCGTATAAGATTACGGTGGGGTAATTTCTTTTTTCTTCTCGTCCCATGGATTCATAAAATCTCGATCTACGGGATCGAATGTCACATAATGTGACATACGGTAGCACGATCCACGTTGACGACCGCGAGCGAGCGTCGAGTTCTCGATTTCGGATGGCTGCCCCCCAGAGAGGTCGTCGAAACACAATGAAATTTCAGTAGTAATCAAGACCGAATCAAATATAAATTTTTTTCATACGTGTATACTTCAACGAACTCAGGCTACACACAAAGCCTTATGTATATATCTAAGCAGCGTTAATTTTTACACGAGCACACACATCCGGCGTAGGTGTTCACAATGAAAGTCCGGACGAATCATCTGTCAAGTCTCAAACGAAACAGAATCCCATGCATCTCTTTATATACGCGCATATGTGTATATAGATACGTATCTTATGGTCACGCTTAACAAACAGAGATTAACGAGTCGCATTACCTGATGCAACAGCAGCAGCAGCAGCCCTTGGTACCCACATGTGTGGTACGGCACACACGCAGAGAGACCATGTGTGTGTATGTTTGAGTGTTAAGCAAGAAACACACGATGGGGAAGGTGGAATGATATAACTTCCGTGTATGTGTATGTGTGTGTATGTATTATCTAAACTTCAAAGTAGTGTTATCGTACTCTCGGGGTTGAGCGAGAGCGAGGTTGAAGCGAGACTGTTATTAATCAGCCGGCGCTCCAGGAATGCATACACGTATGCACATATCCTTTTTACACACTCGCGCGCTTACACATATACCTGCAAGGCGCAAAGGAGTCTAGAATCGAGCTTCGCACATGATATTATGTTATTATTGATATTTAATTTCCGCAACGTTTTTGTTTTAATTTTGCGACACAGTTACAAATAAATAACGTGGATAATGATAATAATGAAAAATATGCGCGCCAAGTACGTTCGTTCGTTCGTTCGTCTTAAAACAATATATAAAAAGTATTCGTCAGCATTCCAGCAGAGCATGGCAAATATTTTCTTATCTCTTTTCACTCGTCGCGTCGGAGTCTCTCTGACTCTCTTGTTTAGCGTCTCTGATATAAGTTTATTGTCGTCGTCGTCGTCGTCGTCTTTGTCGACCTTCGAGACACTCGCACATACAGGTGCAGCAGCAGCGGCGGTGAATTCGCATTTTTATAAGCGCATTCTTCGGTGAAAATTATATTCTCGAAAAAAATCAGGCCGCGCGCGCGAAAAATACGTATGTATAACGAGGAAGAAGCGACTCGCTCGGTAGCTCGGCGTCCTTGCGTCCTTTCCTTCTTCTCTATTATGCGGTGCACACACGCACGACTCGCGCGCGATATAATTACCGGCACGCAACTGCAGCACGTCGTCGTGCACACGCATTCTAGCGAGGGAAAGTGTCCTAGCTTTTATATAGTACTAGTAGCAAAAGCAGTGGTGTACCGATCCGGCGAGCTTCGCTCGAGCGTGTACGTAGCTACTACTTACACACAGACCACGAGACGCGATGCGCCTCATGGACGGAGCATATCGCCGCCGCCTCGAAGGCCGCCGTTCTTGGCCGAGCGTTACGATCATCATCGGCGATCGCTCGATAATTAACGCACGGGGCAATAATTTTTTTTCGTATTACTTATATTTCAAACGCACGCACGGCTTTGTGTATTACTACCGTGTGCATTATTTTATTTTTTTTCTCATCGTGGGAGCGTGTCGGTTCGGATTGATTTTTAATCAACTCGCTCGCAGCAGCTGCGGCATTGAAAACTACTCTCCGCAAAGTAGTGGTAGCTAGCTACGGAGTTCATTAAATCTAACTCGAGCGCAAATCGAACTACATGTAACTATTTAATTTATTTATTTTTTTATTCACCATTTCGATCCCGTGTAACAATATCATAAACTCGAGTAAACATCGCACTTTTACGCTTACGAATTTATATATTTTTACTATACGTAGTAGTACATGCACGATGCAGTCGAGTGTAATCAATCAAGGAAACCTCACGACTGAAATCATGCACGTCCCATTAAACCCTCTTATATACTGTATACCGTATATATACGCGTGTACACCGGCAACCGCATAAACCAAAGGGCTCATTTTGCCATACACTGATGTATCGTTCGCTCGCTTCGTTCGCTGCGCTGCGGCGGAGTACCTATATACGCTCGCTGTGCTCATCCGCCCTCCGATGTGAGCACTGCGCTCCTCCGACAAACACCTGCTGACGCGCGAGCTTGTGTGTGTGCTATATGTGTGTGCGCGCCTTTTCCCACGTCGCTTCATCAGGACTCCAAATTGTCTCTCTCTCTCTTTCTTTCTCTGCGATATACCGTGTATAGATATATATAAAAGGAACCCACTCACACAGTCACTCGCGCGTGCAACACGGGCGAACTTCACCCCACCAAAGGATCAGCAACAGTTGCGTGTGCAGAAACCTTTGAGACGCGCGCGGCCCGTAACACTGCACATATGCGTGTGTGTGTATGTGTGTGAGTACTCGCAAGGCCCCGCGACGACGAAGGCGACTCGTATATATGTATGTATAATCGTATACTCCCACCACCACCAGCGCCGCAGCCGCCGTAAAACATAACGCGCGTCTGGCCGCCGATCTCGGGCGCGCGCCGGCATCGCGAGAGTCAGTTGCCGCTTAGAGGCCCATCGTATCGCAGATCCTTGTGTGGTATATATATCGTGCGTTGTTGAGAAGCATCGATTTTTAGCCGACGTTGTGTCTTCTTCGTTACTTCCTATCGACGAGTGCATCGTGTGTGTTTGTGTTTTGTGTATGGGTGCATAATTGTGTGGCAAAAGTATATACATGCCGTGTGATCAAAGTTATATGATATGGTGTTCGAAGTGATTCTCGACGCCGATTTACGCCGATCTCACTGATCGAACGAATGGTATCGTAGTTTGGTCGCCAACCGATTTCTGCGTGTGAGAGAGCGACGATCGCGTCGAACTTGATACGATCCGCATACATGGCACTCGATCGAAAATGAAGATTGACGCCTGCACTTGGGACAAGATGCCTCCCTACTGGTAAAGATTATGATCCGATTGTTTGTTATACATATACCGATTTTTCGTATATCGACGTGTCTCTCGATCGAATGTCTTTTTAATAAAAATATTTCGACTGTTTGACTTTTGGCTCGACTCCGTGTTCCACGAGTTGAGTCGACGACGATCGCGCTTCAAGAAAAAAAAAACGTGTCGCGGCAGGTAAATACTCGGAAGAGTCGAGCTCGGGCTGGCTGGCTACGTGACCCGAAGAATTTCGACTCGTGTGTGTGTGTCTGCACATTTTTTCGCGCGATCGTTTCGGCTGCTTGATATGATATACCGATACGCTGCTGCTGCTCTCTCGTGCATACATAGTAGCGATAATAAATTTTTTTTTGTAAATATATATCGCACGCGAGAAAAGCTACTACACACACTTCTTCTTCTTCTTCGCTGGCGATATCGATCTTTTTCATCTCTCTCGCGATTGTGTTTTGCATAAGAGAAAATTTTGCATGCGCGCGGCCCGAAAATTTGTGATTACTCTCGCTCGTTGGCTGAGCGCGCGTAGTACGGTGTTAACCTTGTAAAAGGTAACCTATAATTCATATCTCGCCTTCTCTCGCTCTGAAACATGTATGTGTGTGTGATTTCAAAGCGCCTCACAATGAGCCCGACCTCGGGAAAGAAAGCTAAATCCGTATTTATATGCATTGTAAACAAAATAGGATCGTGACTCGGTGAGGATCGCACACACTTACTATACTATACACCTTGAAAACATCGCAGGCGCCGATTCAATCGTATCGCGGATCTATCTCAGCGCGCGGCGAAATAAAAGTAAAAAGAACCACCTCTGCGATCTTCACCTGTTACACAATCGCGGAGCGAGTACAAGCAGTAGCAGACTTAGAAAGTCCAAAAAGGGACGCCTAATTTTGGCTGCGCTGTGCACTGCGCACAATTGCATTTTATTATTATACGTGTATACAGATGGCGAACGTGAAATTCGTTCCTGTTTTTTTTCGCGCTTGAAAAGATGTGCTGCTGCTGTGGCTCGCCATTTGCGGGACGATTTCGCTCTCCGACTCTCGATGGGCGCCTTATGTAAGAAAATCTCGGGTTGTAGGTGTTCTGCCTGTCTGTCTGTGATGCACCGCTCCGCTAACAGGAAAGTACACGGATTTTTTTTCGAAAGTTTTCGGCCACACTGCTAATTGCAGTCTGCGCCACTGCCGCTGCTGCTGCTGCAAGTCTGCAATGATTTCTTCATCTCGAAAATATTTATAACGTCCTTTTCTTTATTCGAGCTAAATTTCGAGACTTAGAATCGCGCGATGAATATCAAAGATTGCAATCCTCTTTTGATTTGCATACGTACATCTTCCGTAGTCACACGGAATCCAGCTTCTAGTTTTCTTGATGCCAACGATTGATTATTTTAAAATATATTTGACTCCTTTTTGTCCAAAAATTCACGAGGCTAAATTTCGCGTGCTGCGCTCGAGTCTCTCCGTCCTCGCGCCGAGTAACAGGTGTTCGGAATTATAATATACCGGCGCAGACGCGTCGAGTGCACATCTGAATAATTAGTCCGCACGCCGCCGAGGAAGCTAAGCTTGCGCATGTAATATAAAAATGCGAAATTCGATATCGCTAAAACAACAATATAGTCACGTGTACGTTTCGAAAAACACGATCCATGAATCGCGAGCCTAATCGCGATTAAAAATCCTTTTGCTAAAAATTATTTTACTAATTCATACTTTTTTTCTTCTGTTTCAGGTAAGTCTGAGTTTACAAACCGATCCTTTACACACATTGGGGTATGGGTAAGTCCTATAGATGATGTTATGCAAAAGTTACAGCGTCGATTATGACGGTAGATTAATACATTATCTATGGCGCGATGACGTTTTCTCTCTCTTGCTTCTCGACCGCATCTCGGTGCGTAATAATCACTCTCGCGCCGCGATCATCATCGTATACGGACGTTCTTCTCCATCTGCACTTCGGAGGCTCTTCTCTTTCTCTGTGGCATAGCAGTCGCGGTTAAAGTTACACTATATATATGTGTATGTGTATACGTACGTAATGACGGAAAATTGCCGCGCCTTTGCTCCGCTATATAATACGCGTTTATAGCGCAGGACGACGACGAAAAAAAAAACAGAAGAACGCGCAACGCGTCTAGCGGACCCCGAGAGAGCTGCGTATTATACACACATATGGGTGTAAACGGATCATTTTATACATGTAAAAGTGTGATTAACGTCGCGACTCGCGAGGCGTTGCAACAGCCTGCGATGTGTTTTATTTTATTTATTTTATTATCATTATTATTATTATTTTTTGTATCGAGTTTCGTAAAGAGAAAATAATTCGGTGTACGGTCGCATTCGAGTATCGTGGTCGATACTCGTGTGTGTGCTCCCACTGCATTGTCATTCGACAACAGAAGGTGATTCGACGCTTTTTTCTTCTCATTTGAAACCTTTGTGGCGCGCGCGTGTAACATAACAACGCGTATAATGTAACGCCGAGTGTGAAAAGATCGGGGCGTGAAATTTTAATTTGACGAAAAATTCCGTCACGTCTCTTCTATGTATCTCTCTCTCCTGCGCCTCGAGGGGCTCTCCGCTCACCGTAATCGTAACCCACATATGTGTATGAATTTTACCACTTTAGGCGCGAGCTCGAGGATCGTATTCCGACATCGATTTCCGGAATCGATTGAAACGCCGCCGTACTCGAGCTACGAGCGATATATCCCCAAAGTAATGGCCATTCGATCGGGCGATTGTATTAGTTTTTCGACTCATTACGCCGTACGTTAATTTTCTCCCTCTCGCGAGCCAAAAGGGATGAAAGATAATGAAAGAAAGAAAAAAACATCAAAAGCTATACACTTTCACTCGCCTGGCGCGAATTTAAAAAGAAACAAGTTCAAGCGCGCGACGCGACAGAGAAAGAGAGAGAGAGAAGTGTCTTATATCTCGAGAAGAGAATGTCATCGCGAGTGTATTACTTTGTATATTGGCCCGGTATACAAGCAGCCAATTATTCTTATTTTGTACTTTCTTATTGCTCGGCGAAACGTGCGTTAAAACGCGCGCATTCCACATCCTGACATTATATAAGTTTATAGTGCGCCGCTGCCGCCGCCGTTGCATTTCGCCCTTCGTTTCTTTTTTCTTTTTCTCTCTCCTCGGATCATGTCGCTAATTATTTTTATATCCGTGGTCTATTTCGCCGCGAATTCAACTTCGCTTTTCTCTCCTTTTTTTTGGCGTTTACCGATCGTTTGTGAAAATTTAACACGCAACAATGGGGGCTGTATCGCACACATTTTATATTTTATATACGCTGTATACACATCGCGGAGTGTCGCAATATAACCGCGCGCTGAAAAATTGTCAACAGGTATCTGTATGTCTCTACTCGCTCGCAAGCTTGACACTATTGGATTGACCTCCCACAATATGTGTGCTTTGTTGCTGCTGCACTACTGCGAACGAATGAACGAAATATATACTCACGTAGCGGCGAGCCGTAAACTTGTCTCTTTGTGTGCTGCTGCACTCCGAGAGCAGCAGCGAGCCTTTTTGCGTAATCAAAAACTTGATTGACTTTTAATTTATATATCACATGTATACACGCGCGAATGCGTCATATTTGCGACGACGACGACGACGACAACAAAGCTGAAATTCGAAATGGAGCTTTAATTGCTCCGGCGCGTACATATCGCTCGCGGACAAATGATTGTCTATTATATTTTAACGCGCAGCTTTATTCGTTCGTTAATAAAAAAAAAAGGTTCGCTCGTTAAAGCACGATGACCCAGCATTACAATTGATTTTTTTTTCCTTATCGAGGAAACGGGCACTCGATGTATACTCGCGGGTTTTAACTCCCTTCCGTATTACAAAGTATGGGAAAAAAATTCGTTTCGACGAATTTCGCCATTACCTGCGGTGGCATTTTCGGAATCTCCAATAGTAGGTAGTTTATATACACAGTCGCAAAGCCGTCGCGCGGCTATGTGCAGTGTCCGTCGAATCGGCGCGCGATTTAAATGTTGCAGCCAATTAGGAGAAAAGAGAGAGAGAGAGAAGAGTTGATTTGCCTCGTAGTAGCAGTAGTAGTGCCGCTGCTGCTGGCGCTCGAGCAGCTGATTTACGGCCTCGCGCGAGGCTGCATATTTCGCGCGCACCGTGTACAGAGTGCAGCAGTACTACTATCCGCGCGACGTTTGACCTCTCTGAGCTGAGAAAATCGGTACTGCTACGAGCCGTTGCTGCTGTCGAGCTACCGTGTGTCAATTGCGCAACAGCTAATGGAAAGGCCCCATTTTTGAGCAGGGGGCATTGATTCTCTCTCTCTCTCTCTTACTTTAACTCCATCCACACAACGTGTGTGTATGTGTTAACGGTTATCGCGCGGGTATTGTTTTGTCATTCGTTGGCGAGCTTTGTTGGAGCCCCCCCAATATATATACGTAAAGCGAGAGATATAGGTATTACATAGCTCTCTGGCGCGCGCACAGCTACGAGTATAAGAAAACGGTAAATTTTTGCGCGCGAGCCTCGAAATAATATAAGCTTATGGGTCGTGAGATCGCGTCAGGCAGTCGTTGTACTTGAGAGCTGAGCTGCACTCGATATCCGATCGATCGATTCCCTCTCCACCTTTACCTAAATACGTCATAATTATATAGTAAAAGTGTTTTGTGATTCTATTAACGACACTCGATCACACTCGTGAGAGAGCTCGATGATCTGCGAGGCTCTTTAACTCCTCGCGGGCTATATGACGATCGCGCCACGGCTCTCGTGTTTTATCGATAATAATATAAACTAATAACGAGCCGCCGCGGTGCATTTAAATACGTGGAAAATTGATTTCAACAGCTCTCGCGCGGGACGTTGCATTGCCATTATGATTATTATTGTATATGCATCGAGCTGCGTGTCTTTGGTAATTCATCGTTTGTGATATACGCTATATGTGTAGACGATCATCATCGTCGTCGG